AGCTGTACCAGGAACAGCATAGACAACAATTAAAACAATTCCAGGTGCAGCAACAGCAGCTGCAGCAACAGCATCATCAGCGAGAGCAGCAGCACCGCGAGCAGCAGAGTAGGGAACACAGACACCAACTGTTACAACTTCAACAGTCACAAAATCAAGACTTTCAAAGTCTTCAGCATCACCACCATCATCACCATCCAAATCAGATTGTTTTGTCTGATCATCTGATTATTCAAAATGCCCATGGTAGTCCCGCGACAAGACATCGACGTGTGGCTACCCTACCTCACTCCAGCACGGAGGAGAGCAGAAGTAGTCCCATTAACGGAGAGAGAATAGCGATAAATCATAGTAGAGATAGCAGCCAGGCTTCTCAGAGTTCAGCAACATTTTCACCCAAAACTACTGGTAGTTATGATTCTGATGGTAAGGAAACATTTTGATTGTTAAATGAATGGCATCCATCACTGAACTCTCAATATTAGGTGATGTAACCATGCATGGTAGGAGTGTAGGTAAAATGAGAATAATTTATTCATTTATATATAATTATGTTATGACATCAGAAGCACATCCCCAATATGAAATGTGACATACCTCTGTCATTTACATAAGTGCATGAACTTTTAATAGAGCAAATTGGGAAAAGTGCAATGTTTGTATCAACTTATAATTTCTTTGATTATGTTTGACATATGTTTTTGCGTTAGAAAATGTATTTTTTATGTCTGTCAGTTCCTTGTAATTTATAATTGTTTTGGTCGTGTATACAATGTATGTTGATGCTGGATCATTCAACTTGTTATCCATGTCAGGAAAGCTTGAACTCAACAACTTGTCTGTTTCATTTACGTTTGCCAATTCATGCCATGTTGGCAATTAACCCTTTGGGCATTAAAGTAAACTTTCGTTGCCAATCACTAAATAAGATACGTTTCATTCTTCAGAGAATTTTTTTTTCTCCAAAATTTGATCAATACATGCAGCCAATAGAAAATTGAGTCTGATCCAAAATGCTCAAAAAAATTAAAGGAAGATATTCAAAAAATATTTGAAATGTTTACAATCAAAGGCTCAAAGTATTAATCTTACTTATAGCTTCAGGAGGTGCAGAGGAGAGCAGCTTAAATCATAGTCTGGACTATGAAAGTGATTCTGTGTTAGCAGCGCAGTCGTCACCGAACACCGCAAGGGCCCGTGCCGAAGCACTGCCGCATGATTCCTTCCATGCATCGCTGAAAAGGAAGAAAGCAGACAAACACATTGTGGTAAGCGGAGGCCAGTTTGAGAAGAGTACGTCACTGCAGGACTCTTTGCATCAACAGCGCCCTGTTTCCATGGTAATGACAAGTCGTTCTGAGGATTTGGTAGTAGCTAACCCTGCAGTTAGTAGTCTAGATCGGCAGGTGGGTAACGGGTAGAGGTCATGGCGACCCAGATGGTGTTATTTACTGGCTGTCGTCGTGTCTACTACTAGCTGCATGCAAGTACAGTGGTAAAAATCCATGGTTATATTTAAGTTGTTATCTTGGTGCAATTTGTATTCCCACACATGTTTGCCCGTTCACCATTGGAAGGGTCAAATGGTTCACACTGTTCATTGACTTCAATGTGTCATATGCATGTTATATAGTAACGTTTGCCTGTTCACTGTTCTTGTGCAATAATGCATGTTATAAATGTACATGCACTGGTCTTGCCTTTCTATTGTTTCTACACTTGTACAATGTTAAACTTATAACACATACTACTTCTCAGTTACTTTTTGTTTCGTGAACTAAATTAAGTTTTTGGTATACACAGGGATTGATATAGACAGTTTTGTTTCACCAATTGCCAAATTCTAATCCTTTCCCCTAGGCTTTGCCAGTTAATCAGTTAATCTGTAATTAGTTTTTGCCTTATTCTCCATACTCACAAGGCCCTATAGTTTAATCAGCCGATCATCATCACTGTGAGTTTCTAATCCCTGACTCAATAATCCTTTCATCTAATCTACATTCATACACAACTTAGACTATGAATATCTTTTTGGAATCTTCCACCTGATGCTTTCCCAATAATAGACCCAGCCTTCATAGATTCCACAAAACGTTCTTCATGATTGCCCACATTCAAAAAATGGTGGAATCTGTTGATCTATTAGTGGCATTGATGACTTGTCAGCTCATAGGACACTATGGCTGGTAAACTACTGCCCAAATATCATGTCAGATCTCAGCTTTGTACTGAATCGATAAAATGTTCTAAAACATTCGCTCACGATAAAACATTATTCCTTAATATTTCTTAGCAACCAGAAAAATACAAATTTTTGTATCAAACCATGACTGCATGATAAGCAATGCTGGATAGAACCTTGGAAAAGTAAATCATTTTGTGTGTGTTAATTATATCATTAATTAAAGCCTAATTTAGAGTCTAACTATATTTCCAACAATTTTTGAGAACTAAAAACAACACAATTCTGTGGTCTGTCAAATTTTGGTAACGATTCAATTAGGAAAATCTGTCAAATAATTAGATGGTTGAATTTTAAAGGGGGGAGGGGTCAACAAAAGATCGCCCACCTGCCAAAACCATGCCTCCTGGGCAAGGTTTTAGATGGGCATGCATGGTATTGGACAAATGGGGTAAACGATTAAAAAATATTCATAAAATTTTTAATTATATGAGCCTAACATTTGAACTACAGGGGCTATTTTGCATTCAGATAGGAACACCAAACACATCCCTCTAACAATAACCAATAACACAAGACATTGTAATTGTCCCTTTAGAGTAATTCTTAACTTTGTGAAATGATTTTTCTAATTCATTTGACTTTTGTCTGAATCTGGTCATCAACACCCCAGCCCATAGCTGTGTTGCCAAATAATGCCATGGTTAAGTTAATGTGATATTTTGTGTTTTTCTGTTTATATAGAGACATGGTACTGTACCCGGTGCCATGAAAGGTGGTACCACCTCCATGATGCTGGGCAAATTCCGCAAACCTTCCTCAGAAAGCGATCTTGAAAACTTGGAAATTCTTAATAAGCATAAAAAGGGTATCTTCAGAAAGAAAGTGTCCATTGGAAATCTGCTTTCCTGGTGTAAGGTAAGAGATTTGAGAATAGTCCTCAAATGCATTCATATGTTTTTGACATTGCAAACAAATTATGATAGAAACACAGCCATGTTCAAAACATGTAATTTCTTCAAATCATGCAATATATTTCAGGTTTTCTGAGAGTGATACCAGGGGAAGCCTGAAATATTTTGAATTCAACAAATTAATATGTAAATCGTATTGTGGGGAAATTGAACAAACTATATAAATATTTGTATCTTCACGTACTACTGTGTTGTGTACCAAGAAAGATTACGCTCACATTTCATATGCACTGTGTTATTTTCAGGAACCAATCAAGAAACCCATGATTGTAACTAATGAGAGAACTGTTAAAAAAGAAGCAGTGGAAGTGTTCAAACATATCCTTTGATAAATGTCATTTCAGTTTTATTAGCTCCGCTGTCGACTTTGTCGAGCGGAGCTTATCATATGAGTGATTGTCCGTTGTCCGTGTCAATGTTTTACTTTTTCGACTTCTTCTTCAAAACTACAAGCCTGAATGCTTTGATACTTGGTGTATATGTACCTTGGGTAGACCTCTCTCAGATTTGTTCATTTCATGATCATATCTTCAATTCTCTAATTTTGGTGAATATTTTTGTCATTTTTGGTAAAAAGTGATATTTTCGACTTCTTGTTGAAAACCGCAAGTTCAATTGCTTTGATATTACATATATACTGTAAAATCTGTATTAGAAACCGCGGCTTCTATTAAAATGGTACAATGCAACAGAGGGCATGCGGCTTCTAATAGAGCATCTACACATATGAGAAATGATGAATTTTTGGTTCTCAATTATTCAAGAAAAATGGGTGCGACTTCTATTAGAGATGCGGCTTCTAATACAGATTTTACGG